TTTTACTCATATTTCATTTTTGTAATTATTTGATGTTTCTTTATATAATACATAGCACCACATATGATTGGACTGTATTTTTTTTTAATAAATTAATATATAAAGAATTGTTTCTGTTGTTTGGGGAGGGGTGACACGCCAGCATAGTCAAGTTAGGCATTTTCCGAATTTTTTACACACCAAGCCCAAAAGGTTTGCCATCACTGTTCTAAACCATATTTTCTATGATTCCTTGATAACAGCCCTTTCTAAGCTAATATTCTCTAGGTGTGTTAGACTTTAACTTTCACAGTGACAAGCAAGAACAGATATGAATAATATAAGGTTGAAGAAGGCTTCTCAATTTTATAGCTCTATATAGAAATTCAGACCTGTCTCTTTCAGGTTTTTGTGCATGGAAGTTTATCTTTTGAAATCTCAATGGTCGTGTTGGTTCAGGAAGTTTTGATTTAGTGAAAATATCAGCTTGAATGTATAGAACCTGAGAACTTAATTATGCTGGGGATTCTTAAGAAAAGAGTAAAAAATTTAAAATGCCAACATTGTAATATTTCTATATAAATCTATAGTGTGTTCACAGTAAGAATTCTGTGTAAGTCCTAGTTGTCATATTTCAAGAAAGATGTAGAAGAGAGCAACCAGTATTATTGGGTGAGAGCCTCTCCCCTATCTAATAAGAGTATGATATTTTGGCCTCTGGGACTTCTATCATTCAAAAAAAATGTTGATTTGAAGGATATGGCAGGAACTGGTAAATTTATGAATACTGAGAATAAATTGGATGGAGAAAGGTTTTCTCCCTCTTGTTCTAGATTGATTGATTGCATGCCATCAAATTAGCAACCGCATAGATGGATATTCCCCAGGATGATTTGTCTCCAATCTGGTGGTGCACCCGTCCCCACTGTAATTGAGTCCATCCACTTTCCTGCCGGTTATTCTCTTCTTCTCTTTCCTTCTACCTTTCTCAGCATTATAGACTTCTCTAGAGAGCTAGGTGTTCACATAATGTGTCCAAAGTATGATAATTTGAGCTTGGTCATTTATGTCTCAAGTGAGAACTCTGGGTTGACTTGTTCAATATTCTGTTTGTTGGTTTCCTTAATTATGCAAGGTATTCTTCAGGATCTTCTCCAACACTAGAGTTCAATTCTTTCTATCTTCTTCAATGTCCAACTTTTGTTTCCGTGGGGTATCACAGGAAGACCATTTATCTGTATGATTCTGATCTTTGTAGGTATAAACACATCACATCTGAATATCTTTTCCAAGGCCTTTATGGCTGCCTTACCAAGTACTAGTCTGCAGTGTATTTTTTTTATTTCTGATTCCTTTATTTGTTTATTGTTGATACAGTAGTTGATCCTAAAATGCAGAAGCTATCCACTACTTCAGTATCAATTCTAAAGCTAATTGCTGTATGTATTGTCATTAGTTTGGCCTTCTTTATATTCGATCTTTTTTTTTTTTTTTTTTTTATCTGCGCTCGATCTTAGTCCCATTTTTTTCACTCAACTTTTATTACTAGAGCTTATAGATCATTTGCATTTTCAGCTACCAAAATAGTATCATCAGCCTAGCATAGGTTATTGGTGTATCTTACTCAAATTTTAACACCACACTTCTTTTGATCCACCTCCCTCAATACATATTCCACCTATAGGTTGAATCAATGAGAGAGTAGGCAACCTCTTTCATCAAGCTGGAGGTAGTGTGTTTCCATGTTCCATTCAGACTGTGGCTTCCTGATCTATGTGTAGTTTTCGCATGAGAACAATGAGAGGTTTTGAGATTGCCATTTTTCTAAGGACATTCCACAGCCTGACATGATCTACACAATCAAAGGTCTTTTTATAATCAATGAAATACATAGTGACTTTCTGGGTATTCTTTGGCTATCTCAGTTACCCAGCATACATCAGCAATAATATCTTTTGTTCTTTGGCCTATTCTGAAGCCAGCCTGAACATCTGGCATCTCCCTTTCCATGTAGACCAACACTAGTCTGTGTTGGATGATCCTAAGTATTATTTTGATACCATGTCAAATTAAGGATATTGTACAATAGTTTGCACTCTGTTAAGTCTCCTTTCTTTGGTATTGCTATGTAGGCTGACCTCTTCCAATCTGTTGGCCACTGTGTTGTTCTCCAGATTTGCTGGCATAGTTTGGTTAGAGCCTTTACAGATTCTTCTGTTATTGGCATATTTCTGTTGGTATTCCATCAATTCCTCTAGCCTTCTGACCAGGTAAGGACCAGAATGCTGATCTAACTTCATCTTCTAGTAATAGAGGCTCTTATAAGTAGGGAATATCTTCTAAAGCAGCAGTTCAAAAATGTGGTCCATGGACCCCTGAGGGTGCCCGAGACCCTTTCAGGGAGTCCACAAGGTCAAAACTATTTTCATAATAATTTGCTTTTCTCACTCTCATTCTCAAATGTTGACAATAATTGTTGCCAATGATAAAATTTGAGCTTTCAAGCAAAAATTAGAATTTTGAAAAACTTGAGGCACTGTGAGCTTGACGGTTTCCCAATACTTAAATACTTTTTTGATGAGATTGGTGGTAATATTAACAAATGTGATTTTTTGATATTGTATAACATGGGTCAACATTTAGAAAAGCTACATGACTGAGTGAACCAATATTTTCCAAATGATCAATGCATGATGTTACAAAATTATGCATATGTAAATTATCTATTCAAAGTGCAAGACAGACCTATGAATTTTATACAACACGGTGCAAAACGTTCATTGATATGGTTTCAAATTCCACATTGCATTTAACTTTTCAGAAACTACCATTTGTCGAGTTTTGGTGTTGTATTGAAGAATATCCATGATTATCTGAAAAGGCTGTGAAATACTCCTCCCTTTTCCAACTACATATCTGTGGGTGACCAGATTTTCTTCATATACTTCAACCAAAACAACACATTGCAACAGATTGAATGCAGAAGCAGATAAGAGAATTCAGCTGTCTTCTATTAAGCCAGACACTGAAGAAATATGCAAACATAGAACAATACCAGTCTTCAAACTAATTTTTTTTGTTCTTTTGAAAAATCGTTTTTTTAACTAAAAATGTTATTTATGTTAACATGCAGTGGTTTGTTATTGTTATTCTTAAATGAATTAATAAATAGCTTAAAATTTTCTCAGTTTTAATTTCTAATACAGCAAATATTAATATATATATAACTCATATAAACAAAAGCTCTTTGGAGTTCTCAGTAGTTTTTAAGAATGTAAAAGAGTCCTGAGCCAAAAAGGTTTGAGAATCTCTGTTCTAAAGTATCTTGGATGTTAACATCTCTACTGTACAGACTTTTAGTATACTACTGTCATCTGTCCTTTATGTCCTTTAGCATACCAGTTCATGGTTGGAACCTCCTTCTAACCTTGAAGATCTTTAGAAGACTTTCCTTTTTTTCCCCCATGTTTATTTCCATCTACAGTGTCTTTACAGATGTTGTTGTAATATTACTTCTTGTCTCTTCTAAGACCTCTCTGAAATTCTTTGTCAAGTTCCTCCTTGAGGTTTTTGTCTTTCTTGGCTTTGGCTTCTTGTGTCAATTTCCACTTTTTGTTCTGACCCCCAGTTTGCTTTCTGCTGTTTCTTTGTCTTTGGCAAATCATTTTAGAACCAAGGATTTTTTTACACAATTAAAGTATGAAGATTGTCTAAAATTTAAATGGGCTTAAAAAGAAATTACATAAATTCAGAGGATAAAGCTACTAGTTATGATTGATGTATAAGGCCTTTACGATCAAAAATAGATTGCTTCTGAGGAACTGCTGTTCAATGTTAGGAAAGGATTATCATCTTCATATTTAACTTTTTGGATTCTATAAACATTTTATTTATTTATTTATTTATTTTTGGCCAATGTTATAAATTAAGACATTTAACAGGTCTTTGCTGTATCAAGTAGGATTCTAACATGTTCTTAAAAAATTGACATCACTTCAAAAAGGATACTGGAACTGGGAGACCTTCCAGTGAGGAAAATGCTCCACAGGTAGTCCTTGACTTACGACGACAATTGGGACTGGAATTTCCATCACTAAGCAATGCAGTCATAAAGCATGACTGCAACTCTTAACAACAACAATCCCTGCACTCTCAATTGATGTTGTAAACTTAATCCCATGGTTCCACAGGTGAGGCAACTTCCAGCTGGCTTCCCACAGCCAAAGTCAGAGGGGAAGCTGGCAGGAAGTTGTAAGTTCCAGGCCAGGAGGCAGGTAAGTGGCTGCTGCTGGGTGGGGGAGGGGGTGTGGGGGTGTGGCGTGGGTCGGGAAGGGTGCGCAAGAGATGCCGTGCGGGTTGGAGAGGGTGTATGGCGGTGTGGGAGAGGTAGCACAGGTCGGGGAGGGTGCACGGGTGCGCGAGAGATGCCAAATGGGTTGGAGTGGGTGTGGCATGGGTCAGGGAGGATGTGTGAGAGGCACCACACAGGTTGGGGAGGGTGTGCAGGAGTGCATGAGAGGTGCTGCGCAGATTGGGGAGGCTCTGCAGGGGTGCAGCACAGGTAGGGGTGGGTGCATGGGAACACACAAGTGGCCAGCGCAGCATGAATGCAGAGGGGCTGGGGGAGAGTGTGCATGTGGGGGAGACTTAACCCTAGCGACTTACGATGTTCCGTTGGCTTCCCCTTTGGCTTTCTGGAGAAGCTGACATAGAAGGTTTGTAAATGGCGATCATGTGATTGCGGGGCATTTGGCAGCTGGCCATAAGTGTGAATAGGTGGCCAAGCACCCAGATCACAATCATGTGACTGTGTGGGTGTTGGGATGGCTGCAAGTTCAAGGACCGGTCTTAAGTCTCTTTTTTCAGCACTGTTATAACTTCGAACAGTTGCTGACTGGTCATAAGTCGAGGACTACCTGTATGTCATTCAGAAGGGAATTTTATTTCAAAAAGAACAAGAGTTTTCCCTGTCTTTGTTTTCCCATGCTGCTGTCATCCAAAGTAGAAAACAGCATAAGCTAAACATACGAACAGCTGTCGAGGGTTATCTTTAAAAAAAAGAGTATTAGTCAGCAATATTTTATCTTTTATTGGTTTTATTGTAATTCTTTTTGTTTTGGTTGTAGTGAGCCACCCAGAGTCATTGGGAGGCATACAAGTTTAATAAATTATTGTTACTATTACTATTTTATTATTTTATTTATTTTATTATTTTATTACTACTACTATCCCATCATCATCATGATATTTTCCTATTTGTGTGTCTTCTTCCATCTTGGGAAAGTGTGACCAACTTCACATTCTCCAGATATATCAGACCATGCATTCTTTTTGTGCCACGTGATATTTGTGCCTGCTGTATCTGAGAGCATAATGGCACATGAGAAGCACTGCTGCATGTGCTGTGTTTAGAAACACTATATCCCTAGTTGAGATTTATAAGGCAGCTACGTAATTCTTGGAGTGATTGTGCATCATTGCAATCTGAATGTCTTTGCCTTTGTTAAAAATTCCTTGAGAAGATAAGCAGCATAGGTTTTGTGCCACCAGTACAAAATTACTGACAAACAAGAATACCTCCATTATTAGGAAGAAGAAAAATTAATATAATTCCTTCTGCTACTTTGGCTGTCCTACCCTCTCTGGCTTGATGATATTCGTCAGAATTTAGAAATCTTATTTCCTTTTTTTTAATTGCCCACTTTTATTACATTACTTCCATTATAGAAAAGCAGATTACTACAGTAAATTTAGCATTCATTTTTTTAATCTACTGACTTTGATTCCAAAATGTATATACCAGAGAAGTTTTATCTCTCTCTTCCCCCTACCCCCCTTTGGTTTTAAATGTATCTGAAGGCAAAAATGATTAATCTTTCTTGAATTATATTGCAGACTAATTTAGGATTGGCTTTTCTACCTCGTGGATATTGCAGATACCATTTCAATTCATTGAATGGTTGTGAGAGGCCAAACTGCCGGTACTGGCATGTTGTTCTATCAGGAAATGAAAAGGTAAAAACATGTGTTCCATTTCAGTATAAAATACTTTGCTAACTTTAGAGCATAAATACAGCCATTGAAAGCACCATACTGTAGGTTTTTGCTCTTTAACAGATAATTGATGTGACTGTTGAATGTGTTCATTACAAATTTGTTGATTTAGAGAAAGCATATGATAAAAGTGAATAGATTTGAATTAAGAAATGTTTTGCATGAATACGAAGTTGGATGTTTGCTGAATGCAGTAAGAATGGTATACAGTAGAAGTAAAACATTTTAGAATAAAAATAACTGAATATAATTCAGCATTGGTTTAATGTATTTATGGTTAGCTGTATAAGAAATGTCTGCAAGAATGTTAGAGGTTAGTTGGTCAGGAATGTGAACACGTCAAATGTGTGTGTACCTTTTTTAGGCAGGTGATGGTAAGAACCTGGATGTAGGTTGTTTGATTTAATAGGAAGTATGCATCTGAAAATTAATGTATCAAAGACCAAGATAATTGTGTTTAAAAAGGAAAATGGAATAAATTATTGCAAATTGTACCCAAATGGCAAAAAATAAGAGCAAATAAATGTGTGTATCTTAATAATAGTTTATTAAATTTATATGCCAACCGATTCCTAGCAACTCTGGGCAGTTGAATTTTTATTAACATTCTTAGTTGAATGTTAATAAAAATGGGAAAATAAAAGAAGAAATTTTTAGAACATATACATGTTGGTAGAAAGATTGGACTGTTGCAAGAAATTAATGTCAAAAATATTTGAAAATGGGAGCATATAAGACTGTATGTTTCTGCCCACTTTGTTTTATGAAAGTGAGAGTTGGCTGTGTCAGAAAAGAGTTGAATGGAGTGGGAATGGATTACTTAAGAACTGCGTACGGTAAAATGAGATAGGGCCATAAATGAATGTAAATTCAACACAGAAGTGCACTTAAGTAGCTTTAGTCATACAGAATGAATAGGGATTGAATCACAAAGCAGTAGAGATATGAAGAAATAGTGAATAGAGTGAAAGGAAGGGAAGTTAAAGTAATCTTAAAGTAAGTGTGAGGGTCTGGATGGGGAAT